CTGGCACATCAGAAGATAAAGTTTTGAAGAGTGCAGGGATATTTGACAGAACAAATATGCCTGAAACTGGCAAAATGGATGAGTTGAAAGAATATGGTGAGACACAGATGGATAACTTGATAGCTCATTATGAGACTGTGCTTCAACACCAAGGATGCTCAACACTGAAAATAAAGAAAGAGTGGCTATGTTTCTCTCGAAAGTCAGGGCTTATTACCTCTGAGTGAGAACAAGACAAGTTCAGTCTTGAAAAAAGCAAGAAAATTTCCCAATTTGGCTCACATAATCCCAGTTTTCTTTGAAGAGGCGCTTCCTTGGTGACTAAAGGCATTTGCTTTCCAGAGATATGTTTGATGAAAAGATCATGCTTATTTGTCCCAATGGTCCTGAGATCAAAGAATTTAACCCAGAACCCTGCATTGCCAAGTGGCAAGAGATGTGTCTCACAAATAGACGTCCTGATAATAAAGCACTAATCTCTTAAATCATCTTCTCTGGTGATACTTTTTAAAATCACTTGTATTTTCCCATAAGGGACAAACAGTAAGCCAGTCTTTTTCTATATTGTGTGTGCCAACATATTTTCTATATTCTGATCATCTAGTGATTTACTTAGTTTTCATTCATGATTTTACAAATTTTCCGATTACTTTGCTTTTGTTTAGGTAATCTAATAAATTGTTTTGTTTTTTATATAAACGTTGCGATGCACGATCCAGTATTACCAACTATAATCAACAAAATGATCACCTATAATTTTTGCCTTGGTGCCCTAGAAAATTGCCTCGGTGCCCTCTGATTTTTAGGCCCCACCGAGGCAATTTTTGCCTGCCCTCCTGAACACCTAATTCAAGCCCTGTAATATTGTCTTCTTCCTTTGTAGTACTTGCCTTTCTGTCTATCTTTTTAAAGAAGTTAATGTTCTAGCTGCTACTTTTCTGCATTGTTTTGGAATTTCTTTGGCATGGCATATGGAGTTAAGGAGGGAGTTAACCCTGAAATGTACTCCTTGTTTTCTGAAAATACGCTTCTCTTTTAAGAGACAAAAAGGAACAAATGCACTTAATGGTAGTGTTGGATTGTAAAGTCTTATGAATGATAAATTAGAGCTGTGCTCCTTTTTGTCACACCTTGAGTTGTTGATTGGAGGGCATCACTGTTGGATTTCATGTCTTTCCTGTTCTTTGCCTATTTTTCTGTCATATTATCCATTTCAATCCTATAAGGTCCATCTTATCAGTAATATGAGTTTTAGTCTCTGAAAAATTTTTCTCTTCGGCAAATAAGTAAATGAAATATTATCTCTTGTTCCAGGTTTTTCTTGTGCGCAAAATTTCCACCCCTGATGCAGGAAGCCTGTATGCAATGAAGGTGTTGAAAAAGGCTACCCTGAAAGGTACAATTCTAACACAGATGAAAGAAATATTTAATTATGCATAAACTTTGATGGGCTTCGTCAGTTTTTGTTGCAATATATGACTAATGTGGATGTAAAACATTTGTGTGGCATCGGCAGCGTGGTGAAATCAGGTGCTCATCAAAATAATGAAAGTGAAGAAACTAGCGTTTTCCCCGCAGGTTTGGGAATTTTTATTGAATTTTTGTTGTTTTTTTCTCAACACCTTTCATGCCCATTCAAGAACGCATTTCTATGATTTTACTGAAAAACGTTGATTAAAAACATAAAAGATGTAAATTATAAGTTTCCACGGACTCTCAAGCTAAGGAAATAAGTAAACTTTGGCGGCCATTTTCTCGCTTTTTTTTTCCTCTCAAACCATGCGACCCCACCTCCTTTAACTGATTCCGTCCATTCGGCCGCTGACAGCGGCTCTGAGTTTTTCCGCTGCATCCATTCGGCCGCTGTGAGCGGCTCAACGAAATCCGAAAAAAATGTGCACTTTTTAACTTAGTTCCTACTTTTTAAGTTGTCGAAAGGAAGTAGAACTTGTAAACAAACCTGGCCTCAATCTCTGAGCGCCAGTATCGATCGAAACTCGGAGAAATTTTTGCAAGAATCATTGTTTTGTGGTCGCTATGTAGGCTAGATCTAAGTGTAAATAACACGGAGCCTGGTATAAGAAAAAGGCCCTTCAAAGGAAGATATTCAACTAAATTTGTGAAATTCTTACATAAATGTGTGCTAGGGTGATATCGCTACAATTTTGTGTTGATTCGTATGGATTATAAGGACTTGTAGAGCTGAGAAAATGCGGTAAGTCGAAATTTTTGAAGAGGTGTTGCGCAATTTTTTTTCCCCATTTATTTTTGTCTGACTGAAAATACAATATAAACTGATTATAGGTCATTGTTATTGATATAAACAGATTCCTCTATTGATGAATATCACTTTGGTATATGACAATACGTATTAGAGTAACTTAAAGCTTCACAGTAATGCATTCAATAGATGCACCCCAGGTCTAAAACTGAACAAGGAAAAATAATTCTGTCCAGAGCCTGAAAAAATCATGGACGGAATCAGTGATTCCCAATTACCTCGACTCGTATCCAAGATAATTGGATATTTTTTCATTGAAAGCAAGGCAAATAGAGAGGCTTTAAGTTGATACCAATAACTCCATTTTTGCCCAAAAATTGACGAGTGCCTGTTTCCATCAAGTCGTGAAACATTTTATTTTAGTTCAGATGTGTAACTCCAATGTAGTTTCACTAAATACTTTAATTTTTCACAATGCAGTCTTATTATTTTTGTTCTTCAGTTTACTGTAAGTCATTGATTTTATCCATTTTAACTCACTTGCGACTGGGCCCTTTCACCAGTCACAAGCGTTGAAGACTGGCGTTTTTGGGGGTATTTCAATAAATCACCACAACTCTCAGAAGAAGAATTTCTCACAGATAATAGATAATCTTCTATTGTAATCATTTTTTGACACAGTAAAGTAACATTCAAACTTAATCCAATACAAAAAACTAAAGTTGTCCAAGTCTAATACTTTAATTTGTATGATTTTTTAAAAATTGGCATGAATTTGATTTTCCGAAAAATTTCCAGAGACGTGACAAGTAGAATGAAATTCACTGCAACAACAAAAATAAAAGTTCAAAGTGTTCTGGTTTGATTTGTATACATGTGCGAGTGTTTGGTGAATATATAAAAGCTGGTCTGTGCATTGATTCAGACCCATACACTGAATTACATGAGACAGATGTACGGCACGACGTTGTGATTTCGTTGCGCGAAAAACAACACCGGTACTAGTGCTAAATCTAGCCCTAGAACTACGACTCGGGCCGTGTTCGGGTACATATCCAGGATTCTAACAATTAGACACATCATATTCTGTGACACTAGAACTAGTAAAACGCACAGAAGTATAGAAAACGGCGAAATTATGTGATTCTTGTTCATGCGACTTCTTCGACCGTTACTACGACGCGACTGTCAAATTACTATCAGCTGTATAGAAAAAAACAAAGCGCGAGTTCCGGTCTGTTCAACCCCAGTTGGGGTCACTGTCCTTCCCTTTCAATAACTTAAAAACTACCGGCCCCAGAGATACGAAACGAAGTCTAAGTAGCTCAGGCTTGGCCAAACAAGGGTACGAGGCGGGTCTCGCGATCCGTGCGTGATTTGTAGAGCAAAAAAAAAATTCCAAAGTTGGTCACGCAGGGCTTGTGAGACCCGTCGCGGCGGGGGTCACGCAACTGTTGTGTGACCCGTCTGAAGTGAGTTAATTTGATTCCAAGGCTGTTATTAAGTTAGTTAGGAATCTCTGACTGACTGGCTTGCGCCTGATGCTTTTGCTAATTTGTCTTTCCTCTGGGTTGGGAAAATAACAAATAAGCTCAATGCATACCAGCAAGAGATGTTAAGTTTTTGAGGCTGTATAAATGCAAATGAATACCTCTGTTCAGAAATTTCCAGCGTGATATTGCCTTTTGTTTTGTTATTGTTTCTGTTGTCTTTTTCTGCAGTATCTTTTTGTTCCTAAAAGACTAAAACTCATTTGGAAACAAGAGACATTTTAAGGTGCCCCCCTCGGTACCCTTGTAAAGAGCTGTTAATTAAAATTTTCCGTATTAGCTTTGCCAATGGCAAACATTTACTGGCTGATGGATGGGCCTTACGAAGGGAGCAAATGGTTGGGGGGTTCATTTTGAAGAAATACCCAGAATGATATTGCTTAAGATTTTCCACAGCAAATGGCTTTGATTGTGCTAATGTTGTGTCTATTGCATTTTTAACAAAACATAGAAGAGGGATAAAAATCTCTGCTTCAAATTCCTTACATATGTGAAAGAAAAGGTGTTCTTAAATAAACGGTTGTCATGGAGTTGCTCTGTGTTAATTGTTTTTGGGTTGTTGTTTTTTTTCCTTTTTAGTACGAGACCGTCAGAGAACAAAAATGGAACGTGATATCTTGGCTGATGTCAACCATCCTTTTATTGTCAAGCTACACTATGGTAAGTAGAAATATGCATACTGTTATTAAAAATGTGTCTCTGTTTCGTCTTTTCTGTTTTCATTATTCTTGGATTTAAGATGGTCAGTTATAGTCCTTCTGCTCTGTAACATGTAAATGAAAGATTCAAATGTTCTTTCTATATCATGTTAACATAAGATTTCCATACTTATTGACTTTGTACTTGATTGCGTCAATGTTCTTAAGTTCACATGCTTTTTACCCGCTGTATCAGTACTTATCCCTTTGTCTTAATTTTCTGAGGGCACATGGCGACCAGTTACAGTATAACATTTTTTTCCTTTTTTTCCCTCTTGTTTACAGCATTTCAAACAGAAGGCAAGCTGTACCTGATCTTGGAATTTCTGAGAGGAGGGGATTTGTTCACTCGTTTATCAAAAGAGGTATAGTGTCTCTGACAGGTTTTGAGTATTTATTTTCTCCATATTGCCTTCTCAGTGGGTATTTTGTTCAGGGGTAAATAATCATGAGCAACTGTTTAGCAAACCATTCCATTGAACACAGTGAACTTGAAGCTGAGTTTGAAGGGATACATTTTGTGGGTATGATTTCTGTAAAATTATACTGTTGGTAAATGATAATGTAAAGAACCTCGTTTTGCTAGGGAGAAATAGGAGTTTTGATATGCCAACTTGGTGGGAACTAAAAATTATGATTCCCCTCATGTGCACACCAATTATTTATTTTTTTAGATGGTCTTATCACATCCTGGAGTCCTGTATTCTTTCTCTTTGTTACAGGTGATGTTCACAGAAGAAGATGTCAAGTTCTATCTTGCTGAGCTGGCATTAGCGTTAGATCATCTCCATGGCTTAGGCATCATCTACAGAGATTTAAAACCAGAAAAGTAAGTTGAATTAGAATTGGAGCAGCAAGGAGTCTGATGATTGGTGCATACACTACACTGACAGTCTATGAACTGTCATTTCTTTACCATTTCCTTTGATTTATACCATTATTTTGGCCATAAACTTGTGCTAAAATTACATACTCAAAGTTATTACTAAATTGCAACTCATGGGTGACGAAATAAAAATACATGCCCTTAGTTTAACAAAACACTCTAAAAATGTTTTGTTTAGCAAGTAAATTCAATATCTTCAAACATGTTTCCTGTTCTATTTGGACGTCTTCATTGACAAGCGTCACGGTAAGCCTACCGTTTTATTATTATTAGTTTCTATGTTGGACCTGTAGGTTCACAGTGAGTTATTTATTTTTGTACGTGGTGCCAAGACAGACAGGTCCAGAATGTGTTTATAAGCCTGCATCGATCAAGTCACACATGCCTTTCTGTGAAGTTAGATTTATTGAAACTATGTTTATCTTTGTAAAGGTAAAGCAACATTTGTAATAAAGAAAAATTGAAGAGTGTCTACTAAAAGCATGCTCTCATTGTACACATCTACTATAAAAAATTCAATCATTTCGTCCTAATAATATGGCATTTTGATTCTCTGTCTTTCTTTGATTTGCAGCATATTATTAGACACAGAGGGTCACATCAAGCTGACAGATTTTGGATTGAGCAAAGAATCTATATTTGAAGAAAAGAAAACCTATTCGTTTTGCGGCACGGTTGAGTACATGGCACCCGAAGTGGTCAACCGCAAAGGTCATGGGACACCCGCAGACTGGTGGTCGTATGGTGTGCTCATGGTAGGCAGCATTTCTCTACTTTTCTCTACTCATTAGCCCTGCTTTTTGTTGGGGGGGGGGGGGGGGGTTCTTCTATAATTAGATTCGGAGACAGCTAGTTTTTATAAGACTGCATGAAATAACCTGAGATTTACAACTTGTTGAGAAAATACAATGGAATAACAGTAAGCCAACATTAAAATTAACAATTGAACTGACGACACTGGCAATATTTTAGACCAAAATTTGTATGTGTCGTATGAAAATTCTGGCCATGATAACATGAATAGCCAATATTTTTCCGTTATTCTGTAAGATTTAAGTATGGTCAGTTTTTACCTTTCACTACAAAAAGGGAATGCAGACAATTCTTTTAGAAATCTCAAGGTGATGATAGTGTCTGGTGAACATTCCTTTCTCCCCCCTAAAATGTGCAAAATTTTAGTGCATGATGTTCCAGCATAAGATTTAATTGGATATTTTGTGCCCAGGCTATTTTCGGCAACTGTTCATCATAGGCTTAGCCCATCAGAATAATGACTTGAGGTATAAAAGCTCTTTTATGGTATTTGTGTTAAAGCAGATGTGCCAGCTTTCAAGACAATAAATAACTAATCGGAATTATCTATAAATACAGGTGTTTTTTGTGCTTCATGGACACAATTTGGATAATTTTGGATGTTGGCTTTGCCCCTGCCTGCAAAGACCAGCCTGAGATAACGGGATACAATGTCCTGTCAGAAAGATGTACTCAATGAAAATTCTCCCCACCCAGGTATTGAACTGGGATCTTTTGCATGCGACAGTGAAGCGTTTAACAAAACTACACCACAGATGGCATATATTTATTTATGCATAGCATGCTCCGTGAAACTTTATCTTTTAGTTTTTCTTGTGTGATAATGTCTAGACCAATGTTAAGACATATTCCTGTATATTTTTGTAATTTATTTTAACAGTTTGAAATGCTGACGGGAGCGTTGCCTTTCCAAGGTGCCAATAGAAAGGAGACAATGACACAGATCTTAAAGTAAGCAAAGAAACTTTTTCTTTCTTTCTTTCTGATGTTATGACAGGCCAAAAGTTAGGTCACAGCTTAAAAGCAAAAACTTTATGTGTCGAGGGAAATCCATAAGTTTTGCCTTTTCAGTATTCTTGTTAAGGAATAAGCATTGTTCCTGATGTTTGTTGCTTCTGGCTGCAGTTGAGTGTGGCTGGCTGATTGTAGTTTCATTTGATAAACTAAATACTGTTCATCATTTCTGTTCTTTTTATTATTTGAGGAATGTAAATATGCATTCTCCCAGTGTTTTGTTATGTGTTAATTAATTAATGCAGTGGTCTCCACTGTACAACTCTGTTGCTGTGCTACAGAATTTTCATTTATGATTGAAAAGCTTAAATACTTGTTCCATAAATAAAGATTAAATCTTTTGATGTCGGCTGAAGTCATTTCTGTTTTTGAATTAATAAGATGAATATTTGGAGTAATTTTCTTTTAGTCAGAACACAACGTTTTATGTTACTGTTGTACATTGTATTGTATTGTGATGCGCTCTGAGCTTGTGTACTTTAATCAGGGTTGAGCGCTATATAAATGTCATTTATTATTATTATAAACAAAAATCCACAGAAACATCCTTCTTTATTTACTTGAGATGCGAAGATACCCTCTTCAAATTCCAAGTTGTTTCAAATGACACTGCTGAGTGAGTTCTAATTTGTAGTCTGGAGAAGTATGTGCGTTCTTATGATTTTTAAATGTGTTTTTACTTGTCACAGGGCAAAGCTGGGCATGCCGCCATTCCTTAGTCCTGAGGCACAGAGTCTTCTGAGAGCTGTGTTTAAGAGAAACCCGGCCAACCGATTAGGTGACACTCTGAATTGCATTTTTTATAGAATTTGTTTTTCCATTTTTTTGCTACTTCAATTTTGATTGACTACGGTGTTGGGGGGGGTGGGGCTCTCGTGTCCTAGAGGTTAAAGTGTTTGCCTCTCATACAAAGGTCCTGGGTCGAATCCGAGTAACGACCGAAAAATTTCCTTCTCCAAAATTGCCTCCTTTCTCCTCCTTTCCTGCTCTCTAGCAATGTTCTGTCGTCTGCTTTCGTCTCCACTTTCTGCCCCCACCTCGTCACCTCCTTTGCCCCCTACTCTGGGCTCTTGACTCTTTCTGCAGCCTTTCTACTGCTACCCCTTGGCTCCTTACTGCTGTTTTTCAGCCACACCCTTGATCTTTTGGTAGGAAAGATATACACCTAACCTTCTCTGACAAGGGTGAAAATTATCAGAGGTTCCGTTTGCAAGTAGCGCACATTAAAGATCCCTTGGTGGTCTAAAATCGATAAGAGTAGGCTTCAGTTGCCACCCAGGCAAAATCCAAAATTTCCCACCAAAATGTGTCCTGGCGCGCTCATGTGACCTTATGCAGTTGTGAGCGCCGTAAGATACTCCCCCCCCCCCTCTACCCAAAGAAAGTTTGGTTTTGTACTCCCATTGCGGGCTTTCTGATGAATGCTTGAATGGTTTGTCCATTCTAAAATTTACGAACCTTTCTGCCTCCTGTTATGGGTTTTTCATAGTTCTGTGGAAAAAGAAGTCAATACAGTTTGCAGTTTGATTTAATTTCCTATTCATGTCTTGTTGAAACGGTTTGAGAAATTAAGTTGCATAGATTTTTGTTTAGTTTTTTTTTTTTAACCTGCAGTGGCGACTTAAATTCCATCCTATGGGAAAGGGTTCAGGGTGCATTGCTAAATTATCGTTTAAAAAGCTGCCTAATGTGCACTATAAAGGCTCCTAAAGAGCTGTACAGTATATCAATTAGCTATTTATTAGTCTTTGCTGAGAAATATGTGACAGTATCGCAAAAGCTCTAGTTATTCTGATTTTGACTCTGCTTTGATTTGAGCTTGAACAAGTCTGGGGTTTGATTTTAGTCTTATGAATAATATGAAGGTACAAATTGACTGTTTAGTGTAAGATGCTGCCATGCGCCATTTTGAAAAGTAATGTATGACGGAGTCTGGCACTGAGCAGTCAATGTGTAAAATTAATGAGACTGGGAGGGTAAAAATATTGTTTACTAAAAATTTCCATAAACAGGTTCTGGCTCCAATGGCATCGAAGAAATGAAGAGACACCCATTCTTTAGCACAATTGACTGGGTGAAGCTTTTCAAACGAGAACTCCAGCCTCCTTTCAAGCCTGCTGTGGTACAGACAGATGATGTCTTTTATTTTGACAAAGAATTCACTTCAAAGACCCCAAAAGGTAATGACACAGTAACATACTGTTTGGTATAGAAATTGAAAGATTTTGTTAGTTGTAAGTCTTTTTATCATTACTAAATTCTGTATCTTTATCATTACACTCCCACCCTGCTTTTAAAAAATGAGTTTTGAATACCGTTTTGATAATGTACCCATTTTTTTTTCCATGGCGTGCTATATTAGATCTTTGTAAAGAGTTGAGTGTGTATCTGTTGAACTAAACATCTGGTAGGTGAAGTCAAAACTGGACTTATCCGTGCTGACAGTTGGCTCAGCAGTGTACTGTGGGAATTGTTTGGCAGTCTGTTGTGTGGCACATCAATTTTTCATGTGCTGTGAAAGTGTCCCAAGTTTATGTTATTTTCTATGTACGTTTTTCAACAAAAGTTGTCATGTCGCTCATCTGAGTAGTGGGTTGTCGCCCAGTGTGAATTGAAAAAAGAGTGGCGCTCCAGAGTCAATGAATTTGTTCTTTTTCTCTCCACAGATTCCCCTGGAATACCCCCCAGTGCGACAGCTCATGAGTTGTTCAGGGGATTCAGCTTTATAGCACCGGCTCTGCTTGAAAGTGAGGCTCCCCCTGCCCTTGATCATGTCACCAACAACAACAACAACCTTTCCAAGGTAAGAACCTCTACTAATGACCACACTACACTGTCATGGGCATAATGGCATGAGTGAGGCTTTTCAGGATTGGAAGGTGGTCTACAAGGGAAAATGGGAAAAAGCAAAATAAACAGTTGTATTTGGCTTCAGGAAGTATTCAACACAAATTGTGCGTAAACTGTTTATTGTTGGATTGGGGGGGGGTCTTTTCCTTCTTAAATCTCTAAAGAGCACATACTAACAACAAACAAGACGGTTGTTCTCAGGTGGTTTTTTCAAACTTATGATGTAGGATAATGATAGAATTGTATTCTCATGATCGCTGTTCAGCTACTGAGCGTTCCCCCACCCCAAATCAACATGCTAATATGTGCCTAATCTTTTTCTGGTCATCTCACCCTGAGACGGAAGGAATGGTGAATTTGTGTGTTCACAATAGAGTACTAAAATAATGACTAGTGTTTTATGTTGCATATAGCTGTTTCTTTTCTTTTGTTTTTCAGCTTCCAGGAGTGAAAAAGTCTCCATTTGTGGATGATTATGAATTGAAAGAGGTGAGATTAAATAAACATTATTTATGGAGACAAAGTAAGAAGGGAAACTAGAAGTTAGTAACAGTTTTATTTATGGTTGATAAAATGAAATTACTTTACCTTTTCTTTCTTGGATAATAGAAGGACATCCTCGTATCTGAAAAAAGAAAAGAGGAACGTGCAACATGCTTTGAACACAAGAATAGAGTCTAGTAATTCGAAGTGGGAACTGTCCATTGACTTTAAATCTAGTTAAAAGCTAGTATCATCTGTGAAAACCGAGGGTTTTTTTTTCAAACTTAAAATTGTTTTTTTTTTTTGTTTGGGTTTGTTTTTTGTTTAAACTTAGTTTTCCTGCAATGAGGTGTTCGTAGTCTGTCACCTATTTGGTAGCTAGCCCACCTTTGTTTTTCTTGCTGCTAAAATTGTGTTGTTTTTAATAAATTTCTCAGGACATTGGAATTGGCTCTTACTCAGTCTGCAAACGTTGCGTTCACAAAGCCTCTGGAATCAGCTATGCAGTGAAGGTAATCATCTGTTGTCTTTTTTCTGTTTTTGCTCAAATTAGTTGTTTTTTTAAACTCAAAAAAAACTTCAGAGTGGAATTGTCAAAGTTAATTGTAAGGTGTTATGTGTTCATAGTTGTTGAAATACTTTGTTAAAAAAGTTCACAATGGATTGGTCCACCTATCAATATTAAGTTCAGGCAACAAACTTGTTCCATTTTGGGTTTTTTCTCATTGATGTACTATTTATGTACATAGTCACTTTACTAAAGTTTGTTGTTTTTTTCTTCAGATCATGGACAAGGACAAGAGAGATCCATCAGAAGAGGTTGAGATTTTGTTGCGGTTTGGACACCACGCCAATGTGATCACTTTGAGAGATGTAAGCTATTTATTTTCATCTTCTTTTCTTGCCTTCTATATGTTTTATAAAAATAAGGTACTAGTGTGTTAGGTTCCTCTTTTCTTTTATACAGGGTCCCCACCAGGTCGGGAAATCGGGAAAAAGTCGGGAATTTTGAGATAGGTCGGGGAAAAGTCGGGAATTTTGTGATGGGTCGGGAAAGGATAGGGCCTGTGTAATGTGTAGCTATCTAGACTGTATGGTTGATGAATCCTGAAGAGGAAACGTAATTGAACCACTGTGGCGGAAGTGTATGTGTGACACGGAGGCTCGATCGGGAAGAATCAAGATCTGCTTTCGTTACCGCCCAGAAATTTTCCGGTAATAGTCTGATAGATAACGCAACATTTGTAACATGCAGGTTATGCATTATGAACCCTGTGTCGCCTTGAAAATAAATCAATATTAAAAATTGCCCTCTGCTGTCGCTTGTGGAAAAAAGAAAAAGAACTTATACAAGCGTCTTGACAGGTTCGCCCTCGTGACCGGTCAATGAACCTGTGAGTGGCGGCGGTCTGAGCGCTGTGAAGTATAGGACTCCTTTATAAGATACTCTCATGGAAGGGGATTGGGAGGGGGGGGGGGGGGGGCTGAAGGCAACGCTAGAGGACAAAAACTGAACTTGGAAGCAAATTTTTAGCATTTTGATAACTACTTTAGAGCTCTCTGCAAAGCGCGCGTTGGTGCAGGCCTTGTGTGGAATCGGGATCCGTCATGCCTTGTTATTGAACTAAAGTGTTCGCGTTTCATTGGATGGGGTGATTGTAATTTATATCTATATTTTAGCTTTCTGTTCAAGATTGGCAGATTTTCAGTGTCACTGCATCTTGCCCTCCCTCAGTTCTTACACCTCTCATACTGAATAGGTGTACTTGAGCCATTCTAAATTTAGTTATTACACTCTACTTTGAGTTTGAACAATAGTTTTCGTCTTCACGTTTATTATATGAATCATGACACCCAGACTGGTTATTGACAGTCGATATTCTAGTTCTATGTCTTTTCTCAGGCTCAAAGCAGGATTCATTTTTTATATAGGGCCTATAGTTTGTTATGTTGGCTAATATGATGAGGGGAAAATATAAATAAGTAAGAACAGACTGAAATACCAAAGTCTCTCAAGATCCCAGTGCCACACTGACATGTTGTTGAGTGGATATAATGTATCTTCATGTGTGTGTGCGTGTATTCACAAACATATACATGTATTATATTAGATATAAATGGAGCACACGCTTTCATTGTTATGTAATGGTACGTGTCCCTAGAAAATGGATGAGGCCCCTCCTTGGAAAATTGAGAAGCTGGGTTGGCAGACTTTTTATCATTGATAGATGGGCTTTTTTTGGGATCATTCTTGACGCGCAGCGGCCTGATTTTTCCCTCGAATTGGGGTCTTGAAAAAATTTTCCAGGATTTGGTTGGGACCCAGTTTATAATAATAATAATAAATAAATAGCATTTGTGTAGCGCATGTCCCCACTCGAAAGCAAGCTCTATGCGCTTTACACTGTATTATTAACCCAGCAGACCATAGAACACTCAGAAACATTCTCAGCTCCCCGGGAATTAAGACAATTTGTAAGCACTCTTTTGCTATTACACCTTCTTAAAAGTGTTATTGCGGTTTATGTTGTTTAGTTCATTGTAGCATCTGTTGCCAGATTGTATTGAGTGTGTTTGAAATTAAATTTGGTTGTTGAGAGAAGTATCCCAAGGTAGCCAGTGGTCATTTTGGCAAATGCTTTTGCATTGTGAATTATATATCGAGCAAACATGCGATCATTTCTTTTTGGGGGAATTTACTCCATTAAGTTTTCTTAAAACCTACTGAACTGGTTAAGTAACTTGTGAATTTTTTTTCTTCACAGGTTTATGACAGTGGAAACAAAGTCTACCTTATAACAGAATTGATGCGAGGAGGTGAACTCCTGGATAAGATACTCAGACAAAAGTTTTTCTCAGAGAGAGAAGCAAGCGCTGTGTTGCAGATTGTTGCAAAAACTGTGGAATATTTACATCAAAATGGGGTATGTCCTTGACACAATTCATCATGTAGGCTGGTACGCCTACTCTTTGATACTTCCATTCAATGTTCTGTCTGTCATATCACTATAGTTCTTTGGGAGAGTTTTAAATATCTGTTTTGAAGGCAGTATTTCATGCTAAGAGTGTGTGAAATGAGCTCATCGGGTACGATGTTGGCCTGTCAACCCAGATGTCTAGAGTTTAAAAAATGGGGAGGGGGAGGGAGGGGGTGGTACTCGTGTTTTCTACACCCCCTTAGGATAGATATGAATAAGCACCCAGTCTTCTCAAGTTAAAACAAAAAGCTTCGGAGGTCTCATGTGGAAGTTACACGTGTTAAAGGTGTCTTAGCAGGTTTAAAGTAAAAAAGATTAGGCCCCTCTGGCTGCTGTCGATGGAAAATTCAAAATTTTCCTGCCCAAAAACTTAAGCTATTTTAGCCAGTGCAATCGAAAATGGTACAGGGCTTCCAGACGACCAAGGGACAATTTTGTGTTCTATGACGGTAAAATGGCCATATATGTAAAATCAACTGCACTGTGAGATGATCTTAAGGTCATTTACTCCCATAGCTCCAGCAGGGGTATGAGAAGAATAAAGAAGACTACTACGACCTCATGAAGCCTTGATTCCAAAATATAAGTTTCGAAAAAAGCAGGCCTTGAACTGTGAGATGCCTTTGCAGGATAGCATGCCCCCCCGGTAGCTGAATGTTGTAATCTATGACTCCTCAGGTTGTCCATCGAGATCTGAAACCATCAAATATCCTGTATGCTGATGACAGTGGTTCCCCAGACAGCTTGCGTATCTGTGACTTTGGTTTTGCCAAGCAGCTCAGGGCAGAGAATGGCCTTCTCATGACCCCATGCTATACTGCCAACTTTGTTGCTCCAGAGGTGAGTATTTTTACTACTGTTTTCACTCTGAGATAGTAGTGACTGTGACTATAGAATGTAAAGCGTAAACAACTTCGTGTGGAACGGGGATGTGCATTATATAAATGCGTTTTATTATTAATTGTGTCAGATCGTAGTATCCTTGCTCATATGCCAAATATACCAACGTCATAATTTTTCCTCGACTTCTATGTTCTGTGAAGTGGAGTCTTAAAGCTATGACATGTAGAAGACTCAGGTTGTGATCATATAGAAAAACTTGCATTATGAGCATTTTGAAGTTGATCGTTGTTGGAATGTTACAGAGTTTGGTTGTTGTTGTTGTTTTGGGGGTTTTTTTTGGGGGGGGGGAGGAGGGGGAGTCATTTGGGATAGGAGAAAAATGAGAATTAGTTTAATTTTGGATCAAGGTCTCTCGTCATGCAATATAGTTATGATACTTGTTTTGCAATATCATATACTTGCATTTGAATAAGCTATGGCTCTGCTGGTATGGAATGTTGGAATGTAACTTGTTTATGACCTAATTAGCATATAAAGTAGGTTAATGCATCTTGCGCTGGTTTTTTTTTTTCAGGTCTTAAAACGTCAAGGATATGATGCTTCCTGTGATGTGTGGAGCCTTGGAGTTTTATTATACACAATGTTAGCTGGGTCTGTATCAATTTCGTTCCGTTTTAAATTTTTTGTCCACTTCCAAAACTTGTATTGCAATTCTTTTTAAATATTTTTTTTGTGTGGGGGGGGTGGTAGATAAGAAACTATAGCAAAAAGAATGTGACAAATATTGCTTTATGAATGCAGTGATGTAATATTGAAATAACTTGGTGGGACATCATTTTCACCTTTTACTTTTTTTTTTTTGTTGTTGAAAAATTTACCTTTTGTTTCCTGGAAAAATTAATATGCTGATCAATACTATGACTTTGTGACATTTCAAGATTCAGAGCAGGGTTGAAAGGATCAAAAGTTTATACCACAAACTCCATTTACACATACTTTTTGCTTAGCAAACAGTCAGTTATTCATTGAATATTATTTGCTTTTGATATACTTTTTCTTTAACTCACTGACTGCCGTTACCGGGCGTATCCAGGATGAGATTACGCAATAAAATTGCCAAACATGGGGGCCCTCCGATATGGACTTTATAATTTTATTCCATATTTCTGGACTGCAACCGGGTCTGGCAGTTTACAGCAGTTGGGGAAGCCATTTCGACGTGATAAATTACTAGAGTTATTGGCCTTACGCTTTCAGGTTGGGGGGGTTGTGATTTTTTTTTCCACAAGAGACCTATTCCCTTCCAATTCTTAGTTTTGTTGTGATTTCACTACTTTACCGGACGAAAGTGATGATGAGCCGTTTCATGGTGTTGGATCAGACATTGAAATAGGTGAATTAGATAATGATAGCAATGCTGACCCATCGTATTGTGTTCGGGATGGTAAAAGAAGGCAAAGATTGCCTGATTTTAATGCTAGATCTAGTAGTGTGCCAGGATCTAGGCTAGTCCTAGATCTAGATCTAGATCTAGATTTAGATCTACTAAATGTAGTACTAGATCTGGATCTAGTAGTGACTCTGTGTCCACTGATATTGAGTCAGACTCAGATATTGATCAGCCAAGCACAAGTAAAAAGCAGGGCTCTCAGACTTCCGCAGATCCGCGAATTTCCGGGGTTCGCGGTTCGGAGAAAGTCCGGGGCTGAGATCAGCGGCCGCGGAATCGCTGAGCATCGCGCGGTCATGTTTCCGTCGCGCTTCGCATCTGCACGGGTTTCATAATTATCTTCTCCGAGAAAAAATGCGAAAATTTGGAGAACATAATAATAGAGCGATGTATGCCACCCTTATTGTGGCTAGCCTTTTTCTTTTTCTTTTCCTTATTTTGTCATTTATTATGCCTTGCTTTCTGTGTTATCTCTGCAGGCACACACCTTTTGCTAATGGCCCAAATGACACACCAAATGATATTCTGGCCAGAATTGGAGAAGGCAAGTTCTCCCTGGTCGGAGGGAACTGGGACTCTGTGTCTCCCCAAGCAAAGGTACAGTACTTTCCTTTCCCCCTTTTAAAACTTTTAGTAGTCTTTCAATTTTTATTGTTCAGTTTGTTAGTAGCTTGTTTATTTTGCACACTTGATTGGTGGAGGTGCATACCCCATTTTACTGTTCTGACATGTGTATGTGGGTAGTTGGAGGGTGCTCTGGTGTGGTTTGCTCCTTTTTCCCTATCAAACATCTATCGTCTTATCTCCCCTCCTCCTTTTTTATGTTTGCTATTCTTTTGTAACACCTCTAATCTTCGGCACTTATTTAACCTTATTGTGTTGCAAGTGCCGTAAAACACTTACTAAAAAAATGACATGTGTACAAGTACATCAGTGGAACAAGGGACTGAGTTGTTTGTAACTGCCTTGTATGGTAAAAGCTAAGATGCTATAAATAGAAATACAGTTGAACCTGTTATGATGGCCACCTGTACGAACGGCCATTTTCCCTTTCCCCCATTGCGTTTTTTTAATATAATTGAACTGTAAAATGGGCATCTGTCCAACGTGTCCACCATATTTTAACACACCACCCCGAGCACACCAAGCAATGAAACCTGTCTTAGACGGCCACCTTAGTGACTCCCATTACGTTTTGTCATGAATTGAGCATTGGCCCCTGGTGTTGTGGGCGAGCCGTCATATCCAATCACCTGTCGTTGTTGATAGGTAATCCTTCCAACCGATCATGTTGCGTAGGCCCCTACCACTGTTGACCAATAGGTAACAAATTTTCAACTGCTGGTGAGGTAAGAGTGTTATCCCTCATAACCCAAAAACGCTGCCCAAAACTCATTCATTCACACATAGTAAATGGGATGAGTGGTCACTGTTTTGTTTATCCAGTCTCTAACCAAGTAACAATGGACATCAACATGAACTTGTGACTGAAGCATCGCTCGTTCTCGGAGTGGTGGCTACCCATGTGTTTGTTTTGCTGCCCACAGCACTTGGTCCTCCTTGTCTGACACATTTCGTTTTATTGTCACCTTTGCACAAAAGCAGCAACAAAAGAAAAAAGAAAAAAACCCAGTGAAAGCAACAACTAAAACAACAATACCGCGATCTCAAAATGGAAGGGTTTGTTTTCTTCGTCTTGATCAGTCCTGCCTAAGACGGCCACCTGTCTTATACGGCCACTTTTCTCCTTGGCAGTGGGTGGCAGTCTTACACAGGTTCGACTGTATAAACTTTGAAAGCTTCATTCCAGTTATTGTAATCAAGGTTATGTGCTGGCAGTGTTGGTCAATGTGATGCCAGACATCTGTCAGCTATAAATGTTTTATTTGGAAAAATAAAGAACTATTGTAAAAATGCATTCGTGCCATTGTTAATGCAGACTCTTCTGCTTGTGTTTGGGTTTTGTTGACCTATGTATGTATGTACTTCTCATGTTGCAGCAAATTACTCTTTGTGGAGGTATATAAAAAAATGTAATCTTTTTTGTTTACTTTTTCTTCTTCTACTTGCCAGATCTTGAATATACATCAGCGTTTGTGGTTCACCATTTTTATCTTTTTTCAGATGCTTCCACAAAACCTGTATTATCATATTCTTTTTTAGTCATCGATCTATATTTAGGGACAGTAAATTTATTTTTCTTAATTGTTTTATGCATTAATGTGATTAACTGTTTTCTCCCCTCAGGACCTGGTGAAGCGTATGCTCCACATTGACCCTCATAGTAGGCTGACAGCGACACAAGTGCTCAACCACCAGTGGATCTCACAGAGGGACTTGCTGCCACATCTGCGCCTCACTCTACAGGATGCACAGCTGGTTAAGGTAGGTTGTATTGTTGATTTACTCATGGGAGGAATGTAGATGGTGATTTATTTTTTGGTAAAGGTAAAGTACAAAACACACGCATGCGCGCACACACACACTCATGCAACCTTACTTATTTTCCATTTTTATCTCTCTTTTTTTGTGTGTGGCAAAAATATCCTTTTTACTACTGTATATAGACGTGTGCACTTGTGTTCTTCAAAACTAGGACTCTGCTATTTTTTTTCTGCTGGTTTATAGGAGACGTTTTAGGAGATGACTTGTATGGTTGTTTATTCTTTCCATAAGGGGGAAGATGTTGTGGCTCTGAATATATCTCAGAATTGTTATTTGAATAAATGTTTAGGGTAACTTCCCAGCAATGAAGTGCTTAAGAAAGTTTCCCAAGACTGATGTGGACTCAGGTTGAGGCATATGGACAACATGATTGTTTATGCCAGTCCCGTAGTATGTGAAAAGAGGGTGTGCCTTTATCTTGTTCATAGAGTTAGTCACAAGTTTCTTTTCATGCTATCCTCCAATCTTCTTTTCATGCTTTCCTCAAATCTCTTTTCATGCTATCCTCAAATCTCTTTTTATGCTATCCTCAAATTTCGCTGTTCAGATAATCATGTTACATAAGGTGTTAGCCCTTACAGAAAGAATCATAGGTATCAAAGTGCTACTTTTAATTTCCCTGGGAATTTCTGGAAGTGCTGTAGTTCTAGAAGTGTTGGATATTTCAAAGTTTATTTCTTGTATGGAATGCTGCACAACAATGTGTGTGTGTTGTGAATGGTTTGCAGGCACCACTGATAGATACATGATAATCCTTTTTTTCTTTCCATTTGATGTTCCTGTGGGTGGTTGGTGGGTGCTCTGGTGTGGTTTGCTCCTTCTTTCGTATCAAACAACTATCATCTTTATCTCTCCTCCTTTTTTATGTTTGTTACTCTCTTGTAACACCTCTAATCTTCTGCACTTATATGACCTTATTGTGTTGCAAGTGCCGTAAAACTCTTACTAAAAAAAACTTTGATATTCCTGTCGGTCTACCTTGCTCTTTCCTTGCACCAAATAACAGCTGTTGTGTCAATGTGCTTCTCTGTAGCAAAATATTGTACCTGTGTCTTATTATATCTGATGACATTTTGATCTTCAGCCTGTCCTCCCGGAGGTGCAAAGGTAACCATAATGCTTTGAAATTTGATAACAGATTTCTTTTTAACTATTTATTATCTGAACAGGGTTCAGTAGCAGCCACTTTCAAGGCCCTGAATGACCAGAACATGAAGCAAGCAACCCTTGAACCTGTAGGTGCTTCCAGATTGGCTCAGCGACGTGGCAAAGCAAGACCGAAAAGTTCAACAGAGTTGTAACAGACTGCAGCTAGTGTTTTAATCTGTATAAATGACTGAGACACAACAAAGCGAACAATGTAGACTTAAGGAGGCACGTCAATAAATAAGCAATTCTAACCTTGTAACGCTCATATCCATTACTTGAGACAATAGACTCTTAGATTTGTATACTTGGGCATGAATACTAATTTTTTGCTGGGGCTAGGGAGGGAAGTCACAGTGAACAAGGACATACTATCAGTGATGTACCTTTTCTTTCCCTTTGAGAACTGTGTTAACAGGAAAACGGGTGGATCCTGTACCTGGGTATTGTACATTTCAGCATTTCTGTTTTTGAAAATTTGCTTTGCATTATCTATTGAATTGTACAATATGTTTTCCTCTCTAGAATTTACAGAGCAAATGTTTACGCTGGTGTGTGAGTGCTCAGTTTGATTAACCTCTTTGTAGAGTATCCATTAATTTACTTTGCAGGTGTGGTTTTGATGTGTGAGTGTGAATGTTTTCTTAGTTTTGTGTGAGAAAAGCAAAGTACTCTGGTATTCGTTTGGGTTTTATTTTCGTCAACAGCCTTCATTTCACCCTTCACGCCAGCATTTAAAAGATAGGGTCCCTCCGTGTAGCTGTGTTCTTCTTCATCTCTTGTTTTTGTGGATGAAAAATTTTCGGGGGGGGGGGGGTGTTGAACTGTATTTCAATAATAGCTTTCTTTGTTTCACTTTGCAAAGGTTTCTTGCTGGAAAAGACAAATTATTTGCATGCAGCCTAAAAGATCAGGTGAATTGTTTTCTTTTTTCACAAGTAAAAATTGCTATGTAAATTTTTTGTTTTAATAGACTTCACTAAACATGAAAAAGCAACTTTATCGACCTCTGTACTGAGCTTTTGTCACAAGGGCAAACATGATGCAACAAGCGTACTTTACATGATAAACAGTTTCCCAACTAAGCCCACCACAGTGCTACACTTTTATTGAGCTACCGGTATTGTTCACTTGTCTTGTTGATGAACCCCTGCAGTGGTCAACTGTGTAAATGCTGTGCCCCACTGACCTTACTTAGCATTCTTCATGAACTTGCATTCATCAACCACTTCACTGCTATGCCTAATGTGGCTAACTTCATTGAAATATTTCTAGAAAATCTCACGGTTTTACCCAGTCTAGGTAGAAATGCTTTGTAATACATAAACTCTTTGTAATGTTTTATTTAGGACTTAACAAACTGTTATTACATTTTCAGTAGATACTTAACCTCATTTCATGAATTAAATTTGTTACTGCGTCTTTGCCATTTGACAATGTGTTTGCTTTGATTTTCCTGATTTAGGGATGCCTCTTTTGCAGGAAGTTATAAAAACGATTACAGTAACATGGGATGTTTCAGGTGTTTTATATTTTGTGTTATCAAATTAGGTCCTCCCAGGTTTGTTTGGTTGGGGTTTTTTTTTTTATGTCAACATTAAAATTTCTATTATACTTTCATTTCAGTGACCCCAGAAATTTCTAGACTTCGATTCCAACCTGAAGATTTTAAAAAGAAAATCGGTATTTAATACAACCTTTTCTTACAGCTGTAATGGGAGTCCAATGCTGTGTTAAAGAAGTGAAGTTAATAAATTTAGTTACTTCACCTCTTGTCATCTTTCTGGCTGTTTTATGTCTGCTCTTTCCCCACAAAAATGGTTATCGATTTGTACTGTGCTGCCCGTTTTCTGATTAGAAAAAAATAGTGTTGATATAAAGAGGATTTATATTGCCATGCCAGCATATTTTGAAATCTTTTAACTGTGGTTTTGTATAAAGACAGGAATTGTGGCTAAGCTTGTAGAGGGATGTAACGACCGTGTGCCTTACGTTGATCTTTTGGCATAAAAAAAACAAACTCGGTCATTGTCATGTGACTCCAGAATGTTTTGCATTTAAGGTTAAATTTGTTTCAATGATTTGATTTTTTACTGTCTTCGCACATTTGCTTTTATGTGAAGATATTATTTTATTCTTTGTGTATGTATCCTTCGATTTATTTTTTAAATAAATAGATATGTTTTGTGGTGTTGCTACTGAGAATAATGTTGCCTTTGGGAATCCAAATGATTAATACCTTAAATAAAAGCTTGGGGCTTGACAACATTTATGAAGACGGTGAAATTTAAAACTGTTATGGTTTACTATTCTTTTCATCTGATGTTGTCCACTCCTTTTAATTTTTATATGTTTTGTAACTATTTCTTTCTAGCTGAGTCAAAAATGAGTACTCACCATAGTTATCTACATTAAAACTTTAAAAATGGAATGCAGCCGTGTTGCATAGGATTCGCATTATTAAGTACTGTTTCTTTTTCTTTTTTTTTCTTTTTTTAAATTTATGGTCGATTGTGATGTGAATTTCATTGTTTTTTTCCATGCTACTAATTTTTTTATCCCGTTGGTGTTGACCTTTTTTGAAAGTGGTGCTTTCATTCAACGCTTGATGCTAGTACTGATTGTGATATATATAAATTTGACATCAATAATAGTGCTTTTGTAAGCTTCAGCTCTCTTATACCATTATTCAGTCTTGCAGTACACATGGTGAATGGTCGTCAAGTTCCAAGTGATCAGTCATTTATTGACTGTGGCAGTTGTTGCACAAAAGTATATGGAACAGCCTGGGAATCAAAGGCATTGGTTTGTCATGTTTGTCTGACTTGTATGTTTAATGAATCTGTCTACTTTTAAAGCTTTCTAATGTCATCCAAGGGGATCTTTAAGATGATATATTTTCTTTTTTTCTCCATTTCTTGTCTCTTTGTTTTCGGATACTATGTGGTATTCAATGTTTTGAAGATCTCATTATCTCCCTCTTCCCACACTTTGCTCAAAGTCATAGTCTTTGAATATATCTATTGTGCAGATATCATATAATATGTCAGTATTTCCACACCTGTACTGTTTAAATTTCCAGAATTTCAAACATGAAAGAGACTAAATGAGTCATTTAATCCTTTGTCAAATCAGCCATGGTTATGTGGCTTTTTGTCTTTTTCAGCAGAATGGATTAAAAAGAAGAATGTAATTAGTGAAAAGAATGATAGTCAAGAAACTTAGACTTTGATAACACAAAATGCCACAGGTTGTGTGTGGGTTAGTTTTTTTAAGGGAGGAATGGACTCCAGAATCTCAATTAGTTGTCACAGGACAGGTCCCCCCCCCCCCCCCCCCCCCCCCCCCCATTTTTTTAAACAACCGTGTTGTGCGACAGCAAAGTCGAAGATAGTAGCACAACATATGACTGTATGGTCACGAAGGGGGAAGTTTTGAATATTTATGCTTTGCTAATGAATCATGTAACCTTTTGTCTGCCTTACACTGCTTATATGATAACTTTTATCATGTCTGTCTCTAGAAACATAACTCCGTTTGACCCTGCTTTACTAGGTAGAAAGAAAAGAATTTTGAGTTATTCATTTGCCTTGCAAGAACAATGTTATGTCTTGTCTCTGTGTGTTTTAGAGAGATGAATGATATTGCTTGTGTGTACAAAGAAGCTGATGATAAATACTTTTATTTACATATGTATATGAATATATATGTGATTGTGTACAGTCAGCCTTCTGACTTGTGGTTCAGTTCACGTTGAACTTTGAGCTTTTCGTTGGTGTTAATTTTTTTCTGTTTAGTGTTTGTTGCTGCGAGGTTGTGGCGTGGAACATGTGCTGTCATGAACTTGTTTCTGCCAGTCACTGACTGCAGTGTACCATTTTTTCCCTCAGATGCCATTTGTGACCTTGTGCGTTCTCTCCCCCCAACCCCCGCCCCTGTTGTTCTGTCTCTTGTTAGTGGTGAACCAAACATTCTCCTTCTGTGTCTTTGCTGCCTGGCGCTGATACTGTGATGTCTTTTGGGTTAAGATAGATGCAGTTCAGCATTCTGTTTTACTAGCACGGGTGAAACCGTAATTATAGAAGAAATGCAGAGGGATATGAGATGAAATAACATTCTCATGCAGTAAAATATTCAGTTTTTGGGGCATATCGCTTTAAAGATTGCAAAATATTTCTTGGACAAAGCCGAATTCCTGTTACATGCCTGAAAATAAAAGGTTTGTATGTGAGTTTGCCACTTGTAGTGTTTTTGTGTCATTGTAACTCCAGATTTGAAAAACTCTGCAAAGAAATATGATCACAGTACCAAAGTTATTATTCACTCTCACATAATGTCCACAATATATTTATTCATATACCTGGGACACATCTGTATTCATCAGCCGTTTTCATCACATTCAAAAAGAGATGTGGTTAATGAAAAACAGAGACGAAATATATTGTTGTTTTTTTTCCCCCATGCTTTCTGTCAAGTAATGATAATGAAACACCAGATTTGTTGTAATAAGTTCAGGCTTGATGAATTTAACTGTAATGCAGTAATAACTGTTTCTGAACATATCAGATGATTGCTTAGATGTACTTAACTGTGTCAGATATGCAATTCGCCCTGGCCTGGTATAGCTGATTACGGTTATTAGTCTCATAAAAACCTTGTATTTTGGGGTTGCAGTCTTCTTCTTTTTTCTTAAGATCGATTTTTAAAGGTTTGAAAGTTTATAAGTATAAGCATACATCTGTACTATTTGTTGTCTATTTTGAAGGAGAATCTCTTACTGATCTGTCCATTTCTCCTGAATAAAATTGAAATAATCTTGCTCAAAGATTTATGACTTGTTTTATTTACATGTACCTGTTGCTTGAAGACTGCATTGCATTGAACAAAGCTAATGTTTCCTTGAATTTATTTAACCTGTTACTAGAATTTCTTTGCTCTTGTCCATTTGAGAAATGTCCTTCATCTTCCCTTGTGTTGACTCTATGCAGCATTGTAGGCAGATGTGTGTGAGGTCTTTAACAGGTCATCGCTTTTGAACTATGTAAACGTTGGTGTTCCCCTCACTGAATGTGATCAGGAATGTGATTGGGTGACTATGTTTTTCCTGTTGTTCAGAAAGCCTCAGGTTATTGATAAGTGGAGAACCATAATTTATATATATATGTTGGTTGGGTTGCTTTTCTGTTTAGTTATGTGTCGGTTTTGTTTTTGTTTGTTTCTTTTTGTTTTGTTTTTTGTTCTTCTACACATTGTACATCTTCTTTTCCTAACTTAATGCAGTTGAGAAGAAGCTGTATGAGGTTGATTCTGGATGCTTCGATCTGAGCATACTGAAATCAATGCTTGTGGATGGGGTGGGTACAACAGGTCCTCTGTCGTTAGAGGTCAGCTGATCCTGGGCGTGGTTCTTGCCTTATTAAAGACGAACTGAGACTACCATTAGTCTCTTGTGACATATCAAACAGGCTTGTTTAACCAGAACGATTTACATATTTTTTGTGTTGAATACATTGTTGAGGTGGGGAATCAACAGATTCAGGTTTTCTTTTGTGTCACTGGTGATGCTTGGAGAACATCCACTCGTATAATTTACTCTAGTGCTGGTTCTCATTGTGGTGCCAAAGAGGCAGGAGTTAGTTGAAGTGCACGGGTGTAACAGCCGGTGGAGGAAGTCGGTAGTTATCATGACAAGTTGTATTATTTCCTGGAGGGTCCCAGGGTTTTTGAACGAACAGATCCTGACTGTTTAAGCTTTCTGTCTTCCCTGTGGCTTTCTCATGAGAGGTGCACCATTTAATCATTTCTCACCCTGTATATAAAGATCACACACATGCTTTTTATTTGTTGATTACTTGTGATTTTGTTCTATTGTTACATGAAAGCTTTTATGCTTCGAGTTTTTCTTTATGTTGTCAATAGAAGATTATGAATATAAGGGAGGGAAGATGAAAGCTGTTAAAAGAGTTTTTTAGTTCTCATTTGTAAAATGAAGTAAAAGAATGAGTGATCTTTGAGAGTAATATGGTTTTGTGATGTCCAAATAGGTACTGCCTTCTTTTTGGCCTTTTGGGCTTCAGCTTTAGCACATTGTTTCCATTAAAGCAACTTGAAATTATATTGTTTTTGTTTTCTACCTTTGTTTAAAGTTTTCCATGGTTATGATATTGGTATTGCCCATGACTGCCAAAGCTTCAAACCGTAGGACCAGGTTATATCTGTTGGTTGTCAGTAAAGTTGAATTGTTTCCACTGATCTGTTGCCCTGTTTTGGAACAGGGGCATTTGCTTGAATCGTAAGTGTATTTAGCGTACGATTGACCAGTTGCTTTTCTCATTTTCTCATTTTCATTTTGGTTTAGTAGTAATAATGCCATCTTTCTGTTTTCTGTATGAGATGATTTTGTTTTTAAACCAAGTTTAAAAAACCTGGTGTGTTTTGGCAATGTAAGAAGGGCCATACTACATGGACATCAAGTTCCATGACTTGGATGTCGTTTTTCATTATATCAACAACTTTCATTTTTTATAAAATCAAAAATATGATGCTTGGAGTAGTGAACAGATCAAAGTTGATATGTTTTCATTGAGTGGTTAAACAATGGCAAAGTGTCCCTTTTGTTATGTTTACGCATATCCATTTTTATATTAACATATTATACAGATTACAATGTGTAGTTTTAGTTTCATCTTCTGTTACTTTATTTTGAGATTTTACCTCGTTTTATTATGTTGTTGGAACAATGTGATGGAAGTTTTCCGGGATTTCTAATGATAAGAATTTTGAACGAGCGTAAAGCTCTTCTCTTGAGACAGGCTAAAAGTGCCCATAGCTAGCTAGATAGAACTTTATTTCCTAGTATCTATTGTCATCACTTGCTGCTGGTGAATGAAAACGGTTTCTTTTTCACTTTTCTGTTTTTCTTGTTTTATTTGCTTCACCAATTGTTCAGTTGAGTATCGTGGATTGTGATGCGGTTTAATGTAGATATATGAGTGGTTAATGGTTCAAGATTCTTCCTCACGCTCATTCTCATTTCCCAAAGTAATTTTTCACTGCCCTTATCTTAAGATTACCAAGTGAACCTGTAAGGAGAAATGTGTTCTACTTTTCATTTGTTTGCAAGATTTAGTAGTCCTATTCTACTGCTGCTATATCGAGTCTCTTTGCAGCTGAGAGGGCTAAAATAAATGAGTGTTAATTTGAATTTATTTTGACTTGGAAACCTGTCCCTTAAGTCCCCAATTCTTCTTCTTCTGTCTGTTTATCTCATGTTGTAGGTCTGCATTGCCCACATAATAGGCTCCCCTTCCTGTTTCTCTCTCTCTCTCTCTCTCTCTCTCTCTCTCTCTCTCTCTCTCTCTCTCTCTCTCTCTCCCCCTCTCCCTCCCCCTCCCTCCCTTCAGACACGCTAGTTTCTCATATCCTCTTATATTTTTCATGAGCTGGATAATTTATAGTATTTTTAATCTTTTGTGTATTCGCACAACTTTTACCAGGGTTTTCCCTTCTGCCATATCTTTTTTCCTCAAAGTCCTCAGTGCATTGGGATGTGAGGATAATCATTCTTCTCTATCAAAAGCCTTTTTGTTGATAAAGTGTTTGCAAATTTCCGGTTTGCACTAAAATCACACCCTCTTTTGACTTCATAATTTTCTGGCATCTTTTTAAGGGGGGTTGATTAACTTTTCTAAATTTCCAACTTGAGTAGTAGATTGGAGTCACTGTGTCTCCGCCTACCACCTTTGTCCTTCTGAACCTTTTCTACAGATAACACTTTCTATTTCATCTATGCATAGACATAGTTACAGTTACAAGCTTCTAGTCACAAGTTTCCATATGTGCAGAAGCAATGTTTCAGACTTATTTTATTTCCAGTAGATTTTTTGATGTTAGAGAGTTTTCTCTGGTGGAGTCCTTCATGTCACCACTCCTTCGATGTTCTTCAACTGAATATTACAGATTGGCATTCAACATTCAAAACAGGAGAATCCTTTCTTTAAGTATCAATAAGTATAAGTTCTCAATCTCATTCACTTGCTTATTTAGACTATTCACAGGCGAAGTCAGAGAAACTTTTTCTTTTGTCCCAGTAAACTCTTGCCTGTTCCTTATTTCTTTGTCTTTCTTTGGTTTAACGGACATTTTATTGAGCTATTTCTGCATTGTCTTTGTTTCTGCACTCTTTCGTTTCTCCCATGTTCCTTGGTCACATTTTTCTACGCCTTATGTTGTAAATTTAATAGCGTCTGTTATTTGATTTCTAACCCTCCTCCCTGGATGTGGTAAGGTGCAGGAAAGCACCCGCAGATGTCCCTCCGATAGAGTGACCACCCTGTTTTCTTAATTAACCACTTTCATATAATGAATGTTGAGATGTTTTTCACAAAGACTTATTGTCATCGATCATTTGCATATTGTACATAGCATGTCACCTCTGCATAATTTTTCCCCCTTTGCCTTTAAAAAATTACTAAAAATGAAAGAATTGATTGAAATGCCATAGCGCGGATTTGTATGGCTTATAGAAGCCAACCCAGTTACTTTATATAATCAATAAATTTATCATCCTTACAAGTCTTGTGTTTTGTTCACGTTTATTTTTTTTAATCCACTTGATCCAGCTTTTAGTTCCTATAAGTTGTATTGGTGGATTCTCTGATGGTTTGGATTGTTTTCACATTTAAAGATAGGTAAGTTTTACTCTCCCTTTGTTGCTTCTGTCTGTCTGTCTTATTTTTTCCCAACATTAAATGACCGTTATTGTTTCTTTACTTTTAAA